CTCTTTCCTGCCTATGCAGGGGGTCGGACTCGATGATCTATTGAGGTCCCTTCCGTCCCTAACATCTAACATCTATGAATATCTTTGTAGTTTGATGGATTGCCTGAGCAGTGAAATAATATAGTCTGTGAAAACGAATGTCTTGCCCTGGTGAAATTAGCCTGCAGTGTCTGTCCCAGGTTATTTTGTATTATCAGCAAAATAGACTTCTGGAGAATATTAGATTTTCATTGTAGACTGATATTCTGGGATACGTAAATGAAAACATTCATTTATTTCAATTCTGTATCCTACCCTTCCCAGCAAAGGCTCTGGGCAGCTTACAGTAATAGAAATAGAACGATTAACAAGGCAGATAGGATAAATAAAACACAATAACAAAATAAAGCTGAGATCTGACTAAATGATTAATTGGCCTAGCTTTGTTTGCTAAATATCAAGTCAAACAGAAGGGTCTTGCAATACTTCTGAAAAGATGTCCAGGCTTGAGCTCTGGCAGGCCTTAAGAGATCTGGAGTTTGAGGCTGTGGAATAATGTGTGTGTGTTTTTACTAAGCGGACTTGGCATACTGATGGTACTTGTAGGAAGTTGTTCCCAGCTGACCTTGGGGATATTGCAATGGGGCCTAAGATGGGTTCACCTCCTAGCTATAAAGTCATGTCGAGGTTCACTGAACATGGAAGGGTGCAGAAGTTCCTTTTATAAATAAACTATTTAAATAAAAGAAACACTCAGATTAGAGGTGCACTGATACATCGGTCTGATTTTGGATCGGCACTGATATAAAGAAAATTTTCTGTATTGGTAATCAGCCCGATATGGCCAATTAATTTGTCCAATAAATGGCCATGCATGTGCACTGCATGTAGGTAGTGAGAAGTAGAGCCTGCAGCATGGAGTGCTGTGTGCAGCTGGTAAGTCTGGTGTGGAAGGGGAGGTGGGAGGGGGAAGGAGCATGGAAGGGGCCTTGGCCTCCGTGGTGAGGGAGGATGTGGGGTTGCGGCTGGGGCTAGGGTAGGGGCTGCCTAGCCAGGGCCAGGGCGGGATGGAGGCATTGCTCATTGGGAAGTGCAGGAAGGGGGGTGAGGGGGTGGCTCCTGCTGCTGTGTGTGGCTCATCTGGTTCTTTTCTGGCAGCTCCCGCCACTCGTCTGGGAGGGCTTGGGGGCTGGGAGGGCGTGTGCCCTGGATCTGTCCGGGGTGGGGTGGTTTGGGGCCGGGCTCTTCCCGGCCAGTCAGAACCAGGGGCACAGGCCCCCCCATGCCCTCCTGGACGAGCGGTGGAAACTTCCATCCCACACCTGCCCTGGCCCCAGCCCCAGCTTGCAGCTGCAGCCCTCCCTGCACCAAGCAGATCCAGGGGGCACATGCTTCCCATCTCCCCCCAGTGACCCGCTTGTAGCTCTGTCCTGCACCGCTCCCTGCCCTGACTGGTCAGAGCCTGCTCCAGCCCCATTCCCTCTCTCACCGCAGGGGCCTTTGATCTGCCACCCCCCTGTCGTGTCCCCCCCCCCGGTAAAAAGCTGCGTATCAGAAATTGGATTGGTATTGATTGATATGCCTCCTTAAAAATTGGCTATTGGTATTGGCCCCAAAAATCTGTCTCAGTGCACTCCTAACTCAGATTCAAAATACCATTGGTAATATGGGGCTTTGGAAAATTTTATTCAGGGTCAATAGTAGAAAAACAGCATCAGTGTAGCTAAATCTTGTTACTCATGGAAACCCTTATGCAGATATTCTGAAACCTATTTAATTTAATTTAAGTTAAATTTAAGGGTGGCATCTGTGGAAATAAACTTAATCATGTAGATATAAATTTTCTAATGTATATAGTCCTAAGAGTATGGAATAAATTATATAAGATTTGTTGCCAAGTTGGTTTAATAGAACTCCCCCAATAACTTTGTACTAACAGTGTTGAATATTTTGCTAGGAAAATGTAATGTCTAATGTGTTTTTAAAAAATTGTATCTAAAGTTTAATTTAGAAGTAGTACTTGATATCTTTTTACAGCTAATGATTTTAGAATTTTTAGTGAGGGAGTGCATGCTTGAAAAAAACCCACCCTTTTTTTCAAGACAAAGTAATAAACAAGCTTGAAGTTGAAACAGAAAACAAATTATTTAAATAAGAATGGGTAGACTGTATGATATAATGCAAAAAGACCCCCTCCAATTGAAACTTCCAAAAGCATTCTTTTTGTTTATATTTCAGGTTGTTCCCAAATTCAAATGTCAGTGACAGTGGTGTTCCTACATTACCTTCGTTGACAATGCGGCGGATGCGGGAGTCTGTTTCCCGATTACCTGTTAGGTAAGTAGGTATTTCCTATGACTTGTTTTGAGAAATAATACAGATTTAAGGGAAAAAACCTGGAATGATCAAGTAATAAATGGTGGTTAACAGTATGCAGTAAATATAACCATAGTTTTTAAAGCAGAAATATTAATACCTGTTTCTGTATAAGTGTAAGTAGCTAATCAAGTGCAAACTAGCCACCTTTTTTGATTTTTCTTAACTTTTTAAGAGAATTTTGGGTTGGTATTTGAAACTGAACTCATAATCTTGCGGTTTTCATAGTTTCATAGTTGGTAGGGTCGGAAGGGACCTGCGCAGATCATCAAGTCCGACCCTCTGCCATGGCAGAAAAAAGTTCTGGGGTCAAATGACCCCAGCAAGGTGTTTGTCTAACCTCAAAAAGACCCCCAGGGTAGGAGCCAGCACCACTTTGCTTGGAAGTTGGTTCCAGGTCCTAGCTGCCCTGACTGTGAAGTAGCGCCTCCTGATGTCTAGTCTGAATCTACCCTCTGCCAGCTTGTGTCCGTTATTTCTAGTCACTCCTGGTAGTGCTCAGGGGAACAGGGACTCCCCCAATGCCTGCTGGTCCCCTCTGACTAGTTTGTAACAGGCCACTAGATTCCCCCTCAGCCTTCTCTTGTGGAGGCTGAACAGGTTCAGGTCCCTTAGCCTCTCCTCGTAGGGCCTGCCGTGCTGCCCCCGATCATGCGGGTGGCCCTCCTCTGGACCCTCTCCAAGTTGTCCACATCCCTCCTGAAGTGCGGTGCACAGAACTGGACACAGTACTCTAACTGCAGCCTGACCAGTGCCACATAGAGGGGGAGGATCACCTCTTTAGACCTGCTCAAGATGTATCTGTGGATGCATGACATGTGTTTTAATTTGTTTTTTTTGGGTGACTTCTGTGTTTTCCTGTTTGAGAAGAAAGGGGAAGGGAAATTAATAAAAAATAATATGGATCTGAGATTTCTTCAAATATTGTCCTATTTGACTTGCATCCTGTTATGTAGTAAACATATGAGGATGTATGATATTTGTTATTACAAGACTCTCATGTTTTTAAAATAGCACTATTCTTTTGTCACTATTACTTGCTCTTACTGTGAAGCCTATGCTGAGGGATTCAAGGTGGGAATAAAGGAAGCAAAGTATAAAATTATTATTAAAAAAATGTTGTTGCTTCTGAAATAATAAATTCTGAAGCCTACAATGAATATAATGGATGAATGGAGGGATAGGTTCTTAACCAGTTGGTCTTTCTTATCATGTAGAGGCTAGACTGGGCCAGGCCAGGACAAAGTGTATATTTCTCTGTCTTCTCAAGAGTGGTATGGGGTACAAAGAAGCTGCTTTGCATGTGATCTGGAGAGCTGTAGCAGGAATTACCATATTTTCATGTGTATATTCCACTTCCCAGATGCTTCACACCCTTTTAAAAGTAGTGTTTCTGGGAAATTGATATTAGGAAAGCCCTCATCCTCAGATTACCTGCCCAACATTTTATCATGCTTACTAATAAAATAAGTATAATTGAATGCAGTTGTTTTTCATTGACAATGGTTTTTTAAAACTGATTCATGCTATGCTAAATTACTGTAGCAATTTGGGCAAGCTTCCTGAAACCAGGACCAACTCTGAAATTTTTCTTTGCCATTTGCATTTGAGCACAAATAGACTGCAGCACAAAACAGCTTTGTGGATTTATTTAAATCTTCCTGGCTACTTATACCAACAGGTTTTTTGGTTCAATTTATCATTAATTCATTGTTAAACCATCCTCTTTTATTAATAGACACAGAAGTCTTTTGGCAATTTCATGTCCATTTTTAAATATGATACAATGTCTTTTGAGCTTAACTTTTTCTCTGCCAATGGAACAGCTGCTGATGCAAGTTTGTATAATTATACATGGGTAATGACTTGTGCCTCATAAATTTATTGCACCAGCTTGGGCCACCTTCAGTATCATTAATTTGCATTTCTTGGGCCCTCATCTGTTGGTACTTCTCTGGTTTGTTTCTACCAACACCCATCTTTCCAGGTTAGCTTCAGTAGAGGTCATTTAATGGGGCCTGGGGGGCAGGGGTGGGGTGGGAGTGAGAGGCACTGGCATGGCTAGGGGACTGTTTTCTACTTAAACTATTTACTGGCTTGGGACTGGCCATTGCTGCTTACAAATGGGTCCTGGTACAAAAAAGGTTGAGAACTAATTGACTTCAGTATGGCTAGTCATGTGATTTAAGACTAATAGGATTTTGTCATTACCCATGATTGGTAATTCTTTGTCAGGTATAATTTACTATTGAGCCATGTATTAAAATAATTGTATTCCTGTTTAATATTTCATAGAACTATATGAGTAGAACTATATTGAGTTCTGTTCAGATAGTCTTGGGTTTCACTGTTGCCTTGAGAGCTGTTGAATTGTTGCATCAACTTGTTCCTCCTTTCACAAATTTGAATCTTCACAGTAAATAATGGAGATGTCTTTAAACCCCATGAACTAACTTGCTCAGCTGAGTGGATCTTGCCTAAAAGTCTGACAAATAGCATAGATTGCTGATGGATGTGCTAGGCAGGTATGCCAGCTGTCCAAATGTTGCTTAAAACCCTTTAATTTAGTTCCTGAACTACGCTGGGCAAGATCCAGCTGGCTAAATAGTTTAGTTATCAAATAGTATTAGCCCTTCCTCTAACACAGGACTCTGTGCATTTTAGTATATCTTTACTGAAAACTAAAATTCACAACTAATATTAGTGGAAAACATGAACTATGACTTAACTGTCTTCTCTACTCTATAGTTCTCAGCACAGATATTCTACACCTCATGCCTTCACATTCAACGCATCAAATCCTTCGTCTGAGGGCTCCCTTTCCCAAAGGCAGAGATCTACATCCACCCCAAATGTTCACATGGTCAGCACTACTGTGCCGGTAGACAGCAGGATAATTGAGGTAATACTCTGAATAAGAAACAGTATGTACTTGGCTAAAAGAACTAGATATATAACTAGTAGTAATTTTTTTTCTTCCCCCCTGCTTAATATCTTCTATTTGGTTGATAAATGATTAAATGTCTGGGTGACTAGTGTCTGCTTTGAGGCTTGAGCATGTCTTTAATACAGCCTCTATTTGTAGCCTGAAGAATTACACAATTATGCGCCTGTGTAATTTTGTGCATAAGATGTATGACCTGCATAATTTTGCATAATTTAACCCAGGTGGGCTCTGCGCCTCCACCTCTACGGGGCGCCTGGCCCCCTGGCTGTGGGAGTCCCATGTGGAGGCACTGAGCGAAGTGGTGCTTGACTAGACAGCTGGTGAGTAGGAAGGGGGGAGCTCCTGCCTGCAGGAGGTAGGGGTCGGTGTGTTGTTTGTGGGTGTGTATGGGCCCCCCTGCCACACATCTATCCCCTCCCTGTCCATGGTGCACAGCCCAGGCTGTTGGCAGCAGCAGCAGGAGGAGGCAGTGGGCCCTCAGGGGAGCTTGTGGCGGCAGGGAGAGTGGCTCCAGTTGGGTCCTGGGGGCTGCACATGGCAGCATGAAGCCTGCCCAGCCCAGCCTGCTGATATGTACCTTTGAACCAAACTGGGCTGGCTTCATGCCAGCACATGGGGCTTGCAGCACTGCATGTGGGATCCACACGCTGCCAGGCCATAGACTGGCACTGGAGAGAGAGGGTGACTTCCACGACTTTATATGTGCTGGAAGCTCCATGTGGCCGCATGGAGCCTACCTGGTCTGATGGTGCGTGGCTTCTGCCTGCAGTGCTGTGAGCCCTACATGCTGGCACAGAGCCAGCCTGGTCTGGTCTAAAGGTGCACGCCAGTGGGTCAGGCTGGCTTCATGCCGCCACATGCACCTGCAGCTCAGCCAGAGCTGCACGCTTCTGCGGGGGTTCTGCCTACCACAGCTATAAGCACCTGAGGGCCTTCTGCTGCTGCCGTGCCATGCTGCTTTGCACCATGGGTTTGGGGCGGTGGATGTATGTCGGGAGGGCAACACACTGACCCAGAAACTCCACACTCGCCTAGGTGGGTTTTTTGGTACAGATATTAAGGTTATAAAATGAAATGTAAAATAAATAAAATTTTGCATAATTTTGAATTTTTGTGCACATTATTTCCTAGGGCATATCTGTTTCCATTAGTAGTTTGCCCCTTTCTTCACCAAGAATTGGTAGAGCTTAATGCTCAGAAGTTTGACTGATCTCTTGTTGAAGGAGAGCAAGACCCATTTTGTTTACACAACATTATTGGTCTTTCATTTGGAATATGTTATTGGCAATTTTAAGAGCCATAAATCCATATCCAAATGTATAAATTATTTTGGAGGAGTGCATAACCGGATGTCATTTGCAAAGTCAGTGTTAAATCAAGGACTTGTATTATGCAGCATGCTAGGTATGTGTTAAGGTAGCAAGGACTTATGGGGCAAGACCCCTCACTGGTGAGGGGTTTTTTCTGGTGCCTCCTTTCAAAATATTTTTTTCCATAGACTGGCACTGGAGAGAGAGGGTGACTTTCATGATTCAGGCTTTATATGTAGAAGCTCCAGTTCAGTGTTGTTAATGTAAAAGTGAAGTGAGGTGTGGTGCAAAGGAAGGCTTTTAGGGGGAGGAGCCTGATCTTCAAGACTCATACCAGGGCATAATCTTTACCCTGGGAAAAGATAGAAACTTTTAGGAGTTTCATATCCCTAGCTGCAGAGCTTTCTAGCTACATAGAAAAGGGTAGCCTGGTTTGGCTGCACTCGGTTAGGTGGTAGGCTGTCTGCTCTACAGTTGGAAAAAGGAGCTTGTACAGCAGAACTGCTAAACTCTTGTTTCAGGGGAAGATGCTTCCAGCTTGGCCTTGTAAAGCAAACTACCATTTGGTTTCTAACTTCTGTACCAAGCCACTTGGCTGACAATATTTATGGAGCACTTTTTTTTCAAATGGGAGAGTGAATTTTACAGCTATCTGTATAACCAAATAATTGTGTAGCATATAAGGCCTTAGAGGATACAGTGCCTTCTTTATCACCATTGTGTGAACAAAAGAAGTACCTCTTAAATAACCAATTAGCTTTTTACTAAAAAATCATTGGAAGATGTTTAACACCTTTTTGGTATTAAATGGGGAAAAACAGCTTGATAAAGAAGCATAGGCATTAAATATTCTTACTGTGGGCTAAAATTACCCTTAATAGAGAAGGAAATGTAACCTGCACATAGTTAGCATATCAAGCTACTTTTTCTTTCAGGTTTCTGATATTTCCTGTTCTTATTTTTCCCAACAGCTGAAATTTTAACTACTATCTTTATTCTTTTCTCTTATTTCATATTGCTTTGGAATAGAATAATACCCTGAATGATTCTCCCAGTTCCTGGTGCAGGCGATTTTGTTTGAGGGGAAGAGTAGGTATTTTTCCTGATAATTTGCTTTCTTGTAATTAACAGGATTGTTTAAACAGTAAGTTGTTGTAACTCCTAAATGAATCTATTAATCTAATGTTGATTTAATAAAAATAATGGTATGGCATGTTTGTTTTCTTAGCTGTTCTAAATTCTGAATACAGCTGTTGAAGGTCATGGCTAGTTTAGATAATCTGTCTTGTGGATTATTTTGATAATTCTGTTAAACAGCATGAAGTTTTGTTCATGGTGTAAACCTGATCAGTAAGTTCATTAGAGATGCATTTGGTCCCCTTGCATTTAAAATCTGTTTCAAATGTTTTTGGAACACTGCATGGCCTTTTTGTGGTTTGTTTTGGTGAATTATAGCATGGCTACTCATAGCATAGCCATACAGAAAACCAAATTAAATGGTATATAGTGCTTATTTCTGCTTCACGTAAAGATAGTGGCAGGGTACAGCATCGGGTTGTATGTTAATAATACAATTGAGGTACATTGTTTTTGCTGTCAAGACTTGCATGCAGAACGGTATACTGTTTTTTCCTTCAAACACAGCAAAACTTTTGAACTGAAATAAGTGATTTATTTTATGAGGAATCCAGGAGGAACATAAATGCATAAGTGTGAGACTATAAATTCTTTTAAAATAGATTTTTTGAATATGGTGTGTTACAACTTGTTTGCTTGAAAATTGCACTCTTTGGCAGCTATGTCAAAATCAATTACTGTGTTATTGTGTATTCTTATAAAACATTTCTAAATGCTTCTAAAGGATTTCTAAGTATTCTTCCCTCTCCCCTCCTTCTTGAACAGTATAGTGTAATTTGCACAAATGCTTCAGAATCAGATTTATGTGCATTTTAACTAGATAGGAATAAAGAAGCACAGCAGGGATATGTTTTGATTCAAAGCACAGATGGTAGGTCAAAATGTAGCTTGCTAGTCATACCTTTTTAAATAAATCTTTATAAATGGTAGGTGAAGCAGTCAGTTTTACAAGATCTTAATCCAGTTAGAATGGCTGATTCAAGAACCATCACATGGTGTTTCTGTAGACTATTCTGTCCTGCTATGATTTAAATTATTTTCTGCTGTTAGTTGGCTGGAAGTTTTGAATTTATTCCTATTAACTCTTTCAGTATTTGATATTTTTGAAATGCATGTTCTTGTTTTGTGCTGTACTTACTTTTTTGGGAACAATGTTTTAACAGTTGGAACACATGTTAAAATTCTTCTGTCGAGCTGAGCTGACCTTGTGCATGACTGGAGAATTAAGTTTTGTGAAGTGTGTGTGGCAAGAGGAGAAGTAGGTTATACTGCAGTAGAGCTGATATGGTGGAACACTTTCACATATTTGAAGGGGGTAGTATTTTAGTCGGTATAAATCTCATGAGAACTGTTGCTTTTGTATTAGAGTATAGATCTCAACATTTTGTAGGTTCAAATGTGACAGGTAGGTATACTTTGGAAATTTCTGCTTATTTGGAAAGTCTTCTGTAAGGTCTAATGGCATTTCCTTTTCTACATAAAAGAAATTTCTCTCAATTCAGTGCAATCTGCCAAAATAATAAATGGTTTTCTAAATATACCCGCAGTAGGCAAAACACTGATAGGAGTTGTGTGCAAATCTGAAATGCCAGAGTACATGTCTGAGTTTATCAAAAGCACCTATCAAAAGGTGCTGCTTTTGATAAGAAGATGTATAGTTATCGTTTATCCTTCTCAAGTCAGTTCTGTAAAATTGACTGGGCAACCTTAGGATGGGGGTCTCCTTGGAGAAGGGGTGAACTACATGTTTTTAACAAATAACAATAGGATATCTATAATGTTCTTTCAGAACTTTTGAGCATCTTTGTGGACCAAATAACTTAAAGATGCATTATTTTGGATTTATCATAATTTATTGGGGAAGTCGTTTGATAAAATATCCTTGGAATGTGGGGGGAACCAAACTTGAAATTTGTCAAAATCTATAGATATTTGGGTGTCTTCTTCATAGCTTCTCCATCATGGAAACATCATATTCAGTCAGTTAAAACTAAGGCAGCCCATTGGCTGTGGCTATAAAGAAATTTTATGTAACCACAGCTGGACGATCAGTCCAAGCTCTTATATCAGCATACTAAACCAAAGTTACTGCTCGGATTGTATATGGTGCTGAAGTACAGGCTTATGCTGGTAGTAATGATGTAGACATACCTCAGAAAAAGTTTCTTAAGGCTCTTCTGGCTCTTCCTCCCTCAACTTCTATATCTTTTCTGAGATTAGAGATGGGAATGGATTTTATTTTAACTAATTATTATTCGAATGGTGGGATTTTGGTTTAAAATCCTGCCCCATTTACCATCTGGCCTGCTTAAATTATGCTACATAGAAGATATTAATAATCCCCCTCCCCTCCAATCACCCTGGTTAGCTTTTCTTTTCTGCACTTTTGAAGTTTCTGGGATGGGATAACTATCTCAAAGATAATGAAAGATCTTTCTCCCCCATTGAAAAGGTTTGGGTTTTCCAGAGGTTATGAGTTATATTGCCAGGCAGAATGATTTTGCGGTGGCTAGGGCTACTCGCATTTCCCCTTTGGTATACTCTTTGGAAATTAGGTTGGGGTGGGAGAGAAAAGTATTTACAGTTGGATCTCAATAATAAATGGTGATCCTCTTTGACTAGGCTCAGGACCGAACAGATGCCCACAGCTGTTCTGGCTGGATGTAGATTTTCCATTTCAAGGGCTAAAAGATATTGCCCAGTCTGTCTAGGAACTGTGGAAGATACTATCCACTATGTATTAGAATGTTCTTTATATAATTACATAAGGAGAACCTATTTATTGCTGTACTTGCAGAACTTGATACATTTCTCAAATAGAGAGAAATTAATCTGGCTTCTTCAGCAAACAGATCCAAATGTAGTAAACCATCTCACAATTTTTGCTTACAAGGCTGAGGTGATTAGAGTTGAATATCCTTTATTACTGATATGAGTGATACATTTTAACATTAGATTTGATTTTATTGTCTCAATTATGGATCTGTGTACAACAATATTATAGATTTATGTCCTGATTTTCTACTATATTTATATTAATAATGCTTTTATATCGGTGGGATCTGTTTTTAGTATAATATTTGTAGTTCGGTTACTTCATTCAAACTTATTTATATTATGTTGTATGTGTGTTTATATTGTTTTGGGGAGCATGGATTTAGCTATAACCCTTAATAATAATAAATAATTACATTAATTACATTATTAGTGTTCTTTTGGAAGATAACTGATCATTCATCTGCTGGACCTGAATTGGCACCAGCTCCATTCCCTGCTGGTGTTCTGCATGCTCCAGTTTACTTTCCTTTCCCCATGCTCTGAAATGTTGACTTTTCTTTTTGTTTTAATTTTCTCTACTTGTAGGATGCAGTTCGGAATCACAGCGAATCAGGTAAGCTTTCAGAATATAAAAGAATTTCAGTCTTAGTAACTTTTTTTCCCTTGTTTATAATTTTCCTGTTTTCCTTTGTTAAGCATCACCCTCAGCTCTGGCAGGGAGCCCCAACAATATGAGTCCAACTGGGTGGTCTCAGCCCAAAACTCCAGTCCCAGTCCAAAGAGAGAGAGCCGCTGGATCCAATACACAAGAAAAGAACAAAATTGTAAGTATTACAATGTATGTTTTCAAAATAAATGGAATGGGAGCAAAAAGAGAATGAATTTCTTGGACAAATTTTCTCCTTTATCAAGGATAGAAAAGCTGCTTAAACTATTGGGAATTTGTTCACTTCTGTACTCATTAAATAATTTGCACTAATTTAATTTAAGAGCTACTGTTAGCTACCTGTATATTGGAACAGCATACCAACAGGCTGTGTGTATAACATGAATTTCAGATTCTGTGTTAAAGCTTTTTTGTGAAAATTTAAGGATATATTTTTATATGTTTTTCTGTGTGGCTTTTTTTTAAGTTACTAGTTTTTTTTTAAAAAATTGTTCTCATTTATATCTTCATTTGAAACTTGCTATTATGGCTTTTTATTGAAAGCTGATCTTGATTTCTGTTTCACTACAGTAGCAAAATTTAATTTTTCGTGTAAGTTAAATTTTAAAAAATCCAAGTATCCTTTCTCAATCATGGCCTAGCTGTTTAGGTTACAAATTGTGGCATTGTTGTGCTGTCTACATTTCCTTTTCTAAAATAAATCAATGTGACGCTAAGTAATTGCAGGAATGACGTCAATTTGATGTTACATTTTCTTGTGTATAATCTATTCTGATGTTACCTGCAATTACTGCAATAGTAAGAGATCAGAGAGAATACTTTTTCAGGACTCTCATGGTCAGTTTCACTGTTTTCATTGTGATTAGTAGCATAACTCTGGGGGCAAGTGAGGCACTAGCCCCCAGGGGTTGATTGAGGGCACCGCAGAATCATTCCCTAGAAACTTTACTACAGTGCCCAGTGGCTTATCTTGTGGGGGGGGTAGAGGTAGAGGCATTTAACATAAAAAGCCAATTTAAGTTATTCTGAATCAGGAGGAAAAATCATTCTGTGGATAAGATTTTAGGCTGGGACCTAGGAGATACAGCAAACCATAAAACCACTCTCTCTCTTTTTGTCCTGTTCCCAATCCTTACCTCTCTACCTCCCCCCGTCCTTCCATGCTGTCTGCATTGTAATCTCGGAGGTGCTAAAAGTAAATTCAATAAGGGTGGTGAAAATCAGTAAGGTTGCTTCCGTCATGGTCTTGTCTATATGAATGCATGTTGAATTTGTTCCCCAAACTTTCTAGTAAATGCTTTTCTAGTTACGATGTCTGTGTTCTTGGAGATTTAGGTCATTTTGCCCTAACAATTGCTGGAGACATTTTAAATACTCTTAATATCTTTTTAAAGGCATCTGTTACAAATCCAAATGCTTAATTGCACATTTCATAAGAGAAAACTAAAAAGAAGGCAACAGTTAGATACCTATTTTAACTGGCTTTAGCAGAATATTAATAGAAGTATGGGATTTTCAAAAGCTTGCAAAGTGATCTGGGAACACGGGTGTTTGAAAGTCAAGACTTTATTAAGGCAATCAGGACTTGTAGTAGAGATGATATCTTTTATTAGACCAACAAGATTTGCAAAAAAAATTCTTTAGTTACAACCTGGATACGAGACTTTTATTACGCATTTTTTAAATAGGAATTAAACTATTCTGAAAATCATACCCTTACACCCTAGGGTCTTGATGGTTACCATAAATAGGGGTAACCAGCTTTTGACATATACAGATATACTAACTATTCAAGAGGTGTTTCTAATAAGTAAATGCTCTTTATAATTTAAAACATGTTGATAGGGTTCTTAAAACATTAAAAATGTCTTCAAATGCTTAATTTAAAAATATTATAGATATGCACTTGAAAATTTAAGGTCAGGGTTCTTGCATTTCCCTTTCAATAGTGGATAATATCATAAGCTGCTAAAAAAAAAAAAAAATCCAAAAAAATGTTTTGGGAGTTATTGTAAGCAACTATTGTAGGAGAAAAATAGAATCTGGAAATGGGGTCTTAACAAGGAAATGAACAGAAGGAATGTATTTTAGAATAAAATATTGTCTATATTAATAAGTATCTGTGTATCTATACAAATATCTCAAATGTTTGCAGTTCACCTTTTAAATTTAACAGAAATTGGATTCATATGAGGTTCAACTTGTAAGATAAGCATTTAACATGGCTAGTAGACTAGAACTTGAGAGCTGTCATAATATATGACATACTTGTCCATTAAATATTTATTTGCATTTCAGAGGTCTCGTGAACAAAGAGATTCAAGTTATTATTGGGAAATAGAAGCAAGTGAAGTTATGCTTTCTACCAGAATAGGGTCGGGTTCTTTTGGGACTGTTTACAAAGGCAAATGGCATGGTAAGTACTGAACACAATTCTATGTTCTTTTGAAAATGCTGACAACTTAGTAAGTCAGCTGCCCTGAAAACAAGTTATTAACCCAACACTTATTTAGTAATTTTGACCTTTAAATGAGTGCTAAATGTTGATTTATTTTTTTTTAATTATAGATGGACAAACTGTGGCACAAAAATTACTTTTCTTTGTCACACTAATGAGAGAGCAGATGATAAAAACTAAATTTCACAATTTGCAGTTCTCTGCTTCAATAAAGCAAATATATGTTGTATTCTTCAGTCTAATATTGTTGTGGATGACACCAAGTTATGGGGAAGCATGGTCATGCTTGAAGATAGGCTGCAGATACAGGCTTACCAAGACAGGCTGGCAAATTGGGTGGACCAGAACCAGATGAAGTTCAATGTTGAGAAATGTAAAGTGCTCCACCTGGGGATGAACAATCCCCTGCACATCTACAGGCTTGGCAACACCAACCTGACCAGCACTATGGATTGTAGGGACCTGGGGGTCCTAACAGACCACAGTATGAACATGAGCCATCAGTGCGATACTGTAGCCAGCAGGGCTAACATTACCCTGGCATGCATCAATCGATGCATCTCCAGCAAAACCAAAGAAGTGATTCTTCCACTCTGCTAGGTATTGGTGAAACCGCAGCTGGAGTACTGTGTCCAGTTCTGGGTATCGCATTTTAACAAGGATGTGGTAAAGCTTGAGAGAGTTCAGAGAAGGGCCACCCATATGATCAGAGATTTGCACGGCAAGCCATATGAGTAAAGGCTGAGGGATCTGGGACTCTTCAGCCTGAAAAAAGAAGGCTGAGAGGGGACTTGGTAACAGCTTACCACTACATCAGAGGCATACATCAAGGGCTTGGTGAACAACAGTTCACCAGGGCACCGTTGGGGAAAACTAGGAGTAATGGTTATGAACTCCTGGAAGAGTGCTTCAGGCTCAACATTAGGAAAAACCACTTCAAAGCTAGGGTCACCTGATGATCCGACTTGTCTTTTCTGCTTGGTGCAAGGGGCTGGACCCAATGATCTTCCAAGGTCCCTTTCAGCCTTACAATCTATGAATTGTACAACAGCTTCACTTTCTGAAAAGGATGTCCAGTTACCAATAATGGAATTTGTGCTGAGAAACTCAAATTCTGGTGTTAAAACTAAATCCAGGACAATTTTTGTATTCTGAGATTTAATTAGTGTAGTCATCTTGCTCTGGTTGCTGTGATAGGAAGCAAACATAAATGCACTTTGCAATGGAATGTTTTTATATAGATATGGGGGGAGCAGTTGATATGAGCCAGAATTGTATACAACTTGTAGAAAATTGGTTGCAGCACTGTAACTTCTTTAAGCACCCTATTAAGTTTGGTTTGTCCCAGATTTAGGGCATGTGCTTAAATATGAAGACCTAAAATCAGTAGCACTGTTTCCATAGCTTAAAAAAAAAAATCATAGAATTATAGAAAATTAGGGTTGGAATGTACCTCAGGAACTTATCTAGTCCAAAGCCCTGCTCAAAGCAGGACTATCCCCAACTAGATCATCCCAGCCAAGGCTTTGTCTAGCTGAGTCTTAAACCTCCAAGGATGAAGTGTCCGCAAGCTCTCTGAGTAAACCTGTTCCAGTATTTTATTACCCTCCTAATGAAAGAGTTTTTTTCCCAATATCTAACCTAAACTTCCCTTGCTGCAATTTGAGACTATTGCTCCTTGTTCTGTCATCTGTCACCACTGAGAAGAGTCTAGCTTAGGGGTTGTCAACCATGGGTATGTGTACCCCTGGGGGGTACTTGGGAAGGCCCCAGGGGGTATACGGCAGCAATGTGGAGAAGCGAGGGCACTTTCCAGTTTTTTTGCTTCTGGTTTTGCTGTTGTGTGCAGGGGTTTCCCCTCTTCCCCCTTCCCCGCTCCTCAACCGGCTGTGGGACTCCCTGCTTCTTGATCAGCTGCCAGGGGTTACACTAACTAGCTCCATCCTCTTTGGAACCAGCCTTCAGGTAGTTGAGGACTACTATTAAATCCCACCTTGGTCTTCTCTCCTCCAGACTAAATAAGCTCAGTTCCTTCAGCCTTTTCTTTTAAGTTATGTGCCCCAGCCCCCTTACCATATTCATTGCCCTCTGCTGGACTCTTTCCAATTTATCCATATACTCCAGATGTGGCCTCATCAGTGCCAAATAGAGGGGAATAATCACTTCCCTCAATCTGCTGGCAACACTCTTAATGCAGCCCAGTATGCCATTAGCCTTTTTGGCAACAGGGGCACACTTTTGGCTATTCATCTTACTGTTTGCTATAACCCCCAGATCCTTTTCTGTAAAGCTGCTGCTTTCTGCAGTTGGCCCCCAGGCTGTAGGGGTGCCTGGGATTGATCCGTCTTAAGCGCAGCACTTTTCACTTGTCCTTGCTGAACCTCATGAGATTTCTTTTGGTTCAATCCTCCAATTTGTTGAGGTCTCTCTGAGCCTAATCTACTCTCCAGGATATCTACTACTCTCCCGTGCTTGGTATCATCTGTAAATTTGCTGAATGTGCACTCCATCCCATCTTCCAGGTCATTGATGAAAATATTGAACAAAACCAGCCCCAGGACCAACATCTGGGGCACCTCCACTTGATACCGGCTGCCAATTAGACATCAAGCCATTGACTACTACCCTCTGAGTGCAATGATCCAGCAGGTTTTCTGTCCACCTTACAGTCTATTCATCCAACATGGACTTCCTTGCTTGCAAGAATGTTGTGGGAAACTGTATCAAAAGCCTTGCCAAAGTCGAGGTATATCATGTCCACTGCTCTTCCTGCATCCACAGAGCCAGTCATCTCATCATAGAAGGCAATCATATTGGTCAGGCAAAACTTGCCCTTGGTGAATCCATACTGACTGTTCCTGATCACCTTTTCCTCCAAGTGCTTAGAAATGGATTTCTTTAGGATCTGCTCCATGATTTTTCCAGGGACTGAGGTGAGGCTGACTGGTCTGTAGTTCCCTGGATCCTCTTCCTTCCCTTTCTTAAAGATGGGCACTATATTTGCCCTTTTCCAATCATTTGGGGACTCTCCCGATCACCACAAGTTTTCAGAGATAATGGCCAGTGGCTCTGCAGTCATATCAGCCAACTCCCTCAGCACCCTTGGGTGCATCCTGTCTGGTCCCATAAACTTTTACACATCCAGCTTTTCTAAATAGTCCCTAACCTGTTGGTTTGCCACTGCTGGCTGCTCACCTCCTCCCCAAACTCCTTCCAGGTGTAGTAGTGAGACGCATGGTCTTGCCTGTGAAGACTGAAGTGAAAAAGGCATTGAACACTTCAGCCTTTTCTGCATCCTCTGTCACTAGGTTGCCTCCCCCATTCAGTAAGAGACCCACACCTTCCCCTTTTTTCTTCTTTTTGCTTACATACTTGTAGAAACCTTTGTTATTACCCTTCACATTCTTTTCTAGCTGCAACTCCAATTGTGCTTTGCCCTTCCGATTTCATCCCTGTATACCCGAGCAATATTCTTATACTCCTCCCTAGTCATTTGTCCAAGGTTCCACTTGTAAGCTTCCTTTTTGTGTTTTAGCTCATTGAAGAGTTCGCTGCTAAGCCAAGCTAGTCTTCTGCCATACTTGCTAGTCTTCCTGCGCATTGGGATGGTTTGTTCCTGTGCCCTCAGTAAGGTTTCTTAAAAATACAGCTAAGTCTTGGACTCCTTTCCCCCTTAGACTGGCCCCCCAGGGGATTCTGTGCATCAGTTCCCTGAGGGAGTCGGTCTGCTTTTCTGAAGTCCAGGGTCCATACTCTGTTCTCCTTCCTTCCCTCCTTTCGGATCCTGGACTCAATCATTTCATGGTTGCTGCTTCCCAAGTTGCCATCTACTACTTCAATTCTTCCCTGCTTGTGAGCAGCAAGTCTAGAAGAGCATGGCCCCTAGTTGGCCACTCCAGTATTTATACCACAAAGTTGTTCCCAACACTCTCCAAAAACTTCCTGTATTTCCTGCGAACTGCTGTATTTTGCCCTCCAAGCAGATGTCAGGGTGATTTGAAGTCCCCCATGAGAACCAGGGCCTGTGGCCCGGAAACTTCCACTAACTGTTTGAAGAAAGCTTCATTCACCACATAGTTCTGGTCTGGTGGTCTATAGCAGGCTCCCACCCCAACATCACCCTTGTTGCTCTGCCCTCTGACCATAGACTTTCAATAGGCATATCTCCAATTTTCTACTGGAGCTCTGAGCAATCATATGGCTCCTTTATAAAAAGTGTAACTCATCTTCTTCTCTCCTGCCTGTCTTTCCTGTACAGTTTGTACCCATCCATGACAGTGATCCAGTCAAGCGAGCTATCCCATCAAGTCTCTTCCATTCACATCATAGTTACATGTCTGTGTGAAGGCTTCCAATTCTTCCTACTTGTTTCCCAGGCTCTGTGCATTTGTGAAGATAACTAGCTGATTTCCTTACTTAGGGAGAATGAGAGGGTCTCCCCTGTTGCCCCTTCCTGCTTGCACTTCCTTCTGGTCGCCCAGTTCCTCACTTACCTAAGGGCTTTGGTTTCTATCCCTTGGTAAACTTAGTTTAAAGCTCTCTTCACTAGATTAGCGTGCCTGCCTGTGAAGATGCTCTTCCCTCTCTCTGAGGTGGATCCTGTCTCTTTTTAGCAATCCTTAGTCTTGGAACAACATCCTGTGGTCAGAGAAGCCAAACCCCTTCTGGCAACACCATCTGCACAGCCATGCATTGATGTGCAGAATGTGTCTACTCCTGCTTGGGCCCTTCCCCTTGACTGGAAGGATTGAAGAGAATACCACCTGAGCGCGCACCACCGCAGCGCACCGCCCGCCCCCCACCCCCCATCCCCATCCTTTTCACCCTTGCACTCAAGAGCCCCGTAGTCACCTTTGATCTGCTCAGGGTCTCTGCTAGGAGTATCATTGGTGCCCACATGGATGAGCAGCTTGGAGTAGTAGTCAGAGGGCCAGATGAGTCTTGGTAATTCGTCTGTG